ACCCAAGGGCCGGGCACGACCCCCGGAATTACTCTTCCTCCCTCCATCCGTGTGACTTGACAGCCGTTCAATATTTCACGTCGGTTTTTCTCCCACGCGGGTTTTCCTCCGGCGTTACCTATGATTGATATAAGTTAGATAGCCTTTGCCCACTGGTGTCGTGGAGACGACTTAGCACCTCTAGTGGTAAAACGGTCGGAAATAGAATTTAATCATCCATTTCTCGTCTTTTCCATACTGGAAACGGCTTAGAGATATCCCAACAATCACGAGAGGAGACCTGAAACAGGGAACGAGGATCCGAGACAGAGACCTTGGCTTCGTGCCTAGTCTCCGACAAAGCTCCGATGACATTCCGAAATGTCTTCAAACTTGAGGCGTTGGTCATCCATAGTGCTCAGTATTGGATCATGTCGCTAACTGCTACCTGCAAAACAAGAGCCATAGAGTCTATCACGTCGGGTTAACAAACACCAATGAGACTGAGCATCTTTGTGATGAGAGGCCAGGAGCACTTTTTAGGTTACACCTGCTTGTTACCAACCAACCATGATCAAGGAAATTTGTAGCTGTTTGCTATCTATGCCCCCTTCCTCTTCTCCCCACATCTCCAGGGAAACGTTTGCACTCTGAAAAAGCAAGCATTCCACAGACATCCTATGACCTACAAAGCCTAGGATGGGCAGAACAGAAATGAACATCATCCAGCACCATAGCAAAGTCTTAGCAATCTTAGTAACCTAACATTTTGACTCGACTTCAACAACGTTCTGATTGTTCTCCCAACTTTCCTCTCACATCTCATGGGAAGAACTCATTCGAACCAGGGATTCTTTGGCTTTCTGTTACAACCTCTCGCAACAATCTTGCATATGATTACTTCCATGTCACCGGAACTCCACCGGAGAGTGCATCGAGCCCTTTCATGACAGTTAGAAAGCTGTTGTAAGGCTTGAGGGCGGGAGTTGTGGGCTTACAACCTTCCGTTTTTTCCTCGATGGTTTGTTGTTTTTGGCATGATGTGGCCTCTTAGACCGACTGTGTCTTGAGCGCAGAGCATCTGTCACCCATACAACGAGCATCCATAGCCCTCTGAAGGACATTTTCAGCCATAATCGCCATGCTGACCGAATCCGGTGCTGTTGTACAATTAGCGAGACCCATGACAAAGTTATGCTCCATGTCACTTACAGATCACCCTTCGAGTAGACGAAAGGCTGCCCCTCTTCAGGTCACAGTGACGGATCGTTGAATTCACGCATATCCCACATCACTTCGTACATCATCTGAAGAAGCCGGACGGGGTAACTTGCTGCATGCAGCCCCGTGATTTCGAAGTTTCCACTACTTGGATAAGCGACTCTTTTGATCTAGGCTGTCGAGATTTACTCCATGCCAGCATCTGTGCCGTGTCAGCACCACATGCCGAGACAAGAAAGCACGCTTCCCTTAGGCATGTGATTGTGGTCCGGATACCACCTGAATAGGGCTTTGACGGAAAATGTTACTCTATCCTCTCCGGTGCAAGGGGGGCCGCCGAATGGGTTTTGCTCAAGGTTTTGGTAGCAATGGTGGCAAACATGCCATTAAGTACCCTCGACACTGCGCAGAATGGGATATCCCGTCAACATACGGAAGCCCCGTCAACGAATTTGGCATAGCTCCTGGAATTGAGAGCCAAAAGCCAAAATAAGGAGACACACATAGGCTTGAACGCTGTGATCCTAGCCTTCCCATCGTATGAAAGAATGTAGTAGACTGTGATGCCACCCTTCGTTCGTAAACTCAGATTCACCATCTGTGGCACGCGCTTGTAGCTGCCATTCTTTGCCCGGTAAAACATTGACGCTGTCTAGTAGTTTGAGAAGTCTTCGCTGAAGGAAACACGCTAGGCACGTTGACCGCTGGGCCGGATCATACGTCACTGGTAGCATCGTTGCGTTGAAGGAATTTCCTCCCACAATCCAGTGCATATGTGGTGTTTGTAGAACGCCAGGATTCACCGGTGGAACAAAACGCTCGATGACATGTTGCGAACATTGGAACCTCATCATGGCTGCCGATGCAAATTGGGCAACAGCTCCTTGTCTCAGTGATAAGATAAAGTGACCAACAAGACTGCTAATGTTGCAATTTGGAGTGTTTGAGTTGAATACAAACGCCTGCCAGTTCTCAGCGTGAGAATGTAAAAGAAAAAAGAAAAGCTTAATGCGATGTCTTCCAACGTATTGACCAGGTGAACTTTAACTAATCCGTAACCTCCTTCGTTTGCAGCAACAAGTTGGTATCATCAGCAGGCTGAGGTCAGGGGAGTGACAATTCCCGACTGGATCAAGTACCAAGTGTGTTCGGAATGTTGCGTTATTAAACTCTTCTAATATGTGACAGACTCCAGAGATAATTGACCTAGCTTATCGGAAAGTAATCCTCTAGATTGCCGCGAATATGTAACATAATGTTGGAGCACAGGCTCATTGCCGATTTGTGGCTATTGCAAACTTCTTTTGACCTTCTTTCAATTTTCAAATAAGCGCATGGGAGTGTCAATGGCGATATTTGGAGGACAAGGCAGTCCTTCCACTGAACGGCGACTAGCAGATTACCGGTCTAACACCATTTGTCTCTATCTTTGACTCATGAAGAGCAAGTATACAATTACTCCATTCGCAATATGAGAAAGTGTCGCAATAATGAGAAAGCATGGATAGCATCTTGGAAGCGTTCCGGTAAGGTTTGAGGAAATGACAGTTCGCTTACCGACCTAAATTATGTATAAGTTATGAGACGCATAAAAGCGCTAGTGCGTTTCTTTGTCCGTTTGTAATATCAAATACTTGCAAACTAGAGAGTTCACGGTGTAATTTGATAAGGTTCAGCGTATTTCAAAAGCCATCACATGAAGCTCTGACTCTGTAACCAATCAGTTTGGATGAATTGAAGAACTGTGAATGTTTCTATTGTCCAGAGGGCAATTTTGGTTATCGAGCGAGTGTCTAACCAACTCCATGGCCTCTCCCCTTAAGAATCATTATCTCAGCCTAAGCGATCTTGTGTCAACAGCAGAGGAAACTGCCTGCATGCTTTACATCCAGAGTTTGACAACTCTCGAAGAGACTCCAGAAACGAGTATGGTACAGCGCCTTCAAACATCTCGCTTCAACTTAGCAGCATACTATGTCTCGTTCTGCGTTGTCTTGACAATAGGCCGATCCTCGTAGCTCCGCAGTCTCTCAAAAATTGGTTATCTAAGACTTTGAGACTTCTAGTAGCGAGAAACAGGATATAATCGGACATGAAGCGAATGCAAGCCATTGCCGCTTGGCTGTCGTCTGCAAGCGTGGCAAATTGCAAGGAAAGCCAGAACTTTGGTGAGTTCTCACTTGCCTTCTTCATCGCTTCCATAATGAAGGCTGTCACTCTCCGATGGGGCTGGGTTCCGACAGACCGGACACTCAAGGCCAGGAGTGACCCAGACTTCAAGGCCCCGCTCAAGACAGATCGGACACATCACCCTAGGAGGCTGTGTAGTTCCTCTTCATGTCAGTGGTAGGACGCAGACATATTCAGTGGAGCTCTGAAGAAACGGTTACCGGAAGTGTGATGATAGGAAAGCGCATAACTGTGTTTCTCATAGTTATGCCACAGAAGTATCGCCGGACATTAACACCGGTCCCCGACGTAGAAGCCATATCTGCGAGTTGTTGAAACATGTCAGAGCTTATTGATGATAAAACTTAGGACGCTGATGCCGGTGATTGAGTCTTGTTGGTTGAGGCTACTGAGCGCACGGGAGAGAGCCTGCTTTCATTGGGAGTGACCTTCCACGACTGCCCATTTTATATTATGAAAATTAGGAACCACGAATCACAATCTACTGACATGTTGGGAAGGGCTAAAAGGCTGATGGTGAGATGTCGCCATGATTCGAAGCTAACTGCGCGGTAAACAACATTCCGGTTACAAGCGGAGAACATGTGGCCACGTTCCAACATGAAGGTCTCATTAGAACGGCCAACGAGCCTGGTTCTCGGGGCACAGCAGTGATAGCCACTTGTGGTCGGTGCTGAGTAAAGGGAATGACATAGACAGGAGTGGTTTGGTGCAAAAAGACCATGTGTGAAAGGAGATGAAGCCGCCAGGGTCCATACGGCTGAGAACGGAGAATTTGGTGATAGCACAAAGCCAAGGAGAAGAGTCAGGCCACCCAGGGCTCCCTACCCCTGGACGCTTGAAAAGTGCGCTTGACCGGTTCATAAGCACAGATAGCGGAAAGGACTGATGGACGGGTTGGCAGTGTTACCGTTATTGGCAGCCTTACCCCCGCAACGGTGAGCTGACACCAGCAGAGTGTATGCTTAACCATGAAGGTATCGCTACCAAGACTCACCGGTCATGCCAAGGACCAGAATGATAGTGCGACCTTGCGGGGTGGTACCGCTCATACGCCAAAAAAACGCGCAAATTATTCGGCTTTCCAGGAACGTTTGTTCCGGAACCCCCCCCCAAGAGCTCGAGGGACATATCTCTATAGCACTAGACAAGCTATCATGCTATCCGCAATCTCTAAAAATCCAAATGCTGTCCCGTGCTCTAGTTCTCCGCGGTGCTGATAGTCCAAGGACTGGGTGAACAGGTGCACAGCGGATAAGGGCCTTGTCTTGCTAGTAACGGGATGTGCTCGGCAGCATTTCACCTTCGACTCTTGCATATCACATCTTGTCTACAGCAACTATTGACGAATAGTCACGGCAAACTTTCAACCGCATTTCACCGCCAATCAAGTTGTTGACCAAGACTCTATGAGCATGGACTATCATGAACAATAAGGGCAAATACTGATGGACCAGGCTTTAAAGGAACTGATTATCTTCATAATAATCTACCTACAGTAGCTACAGCTCACGCTGCTCGTCTGATCACGCTCATTCGCTGAGTCGCTAGCCAGCTTGTCAGCATTCACCACACCATATCTTTGTGCCGCGGAAAGTTCTTAGCTCGACTTAGTCCCAGTTCCCCCCTCCAAGATCAATGTTCTCACCGCGGCCCATGGTGGGCACCGCATCTGCCAATGACCAAGGTTTGTACTTGTAGCCCGGAGGATAGTTCGGGGGAATGCTGTCGTCCTCCTCAAGCGGCACACCCTGACGCATGCTTTGGACGATGCGATCATAGACCCGATATGTGTATTCCTCGGGATCATGTTCCCACACCCACCGAGGAAGTTTAGGCTGTGCCAGCTTGGGTTCATTCTTGACTTTCCCCCACTGGGTCTCTTGCAAGCGATGAGCATTGTAGAAGCCAAGGCGCTGGGCACAAGCTGTGCGGATAAAGCGCATGCGGACATGAGCATGCACGGCCTCACGAATGTTGTCTCGACCGGCTATCTGAAGGCAGCTGGCCAGCGAGACGGCATCTTCGATGGCTTGCGTTGCCCCATTGCTTGAAGCAGGAAGAAAGGTATGGGCCGCGTCGCCAATATTGACAACGCGCCCTCCCGGAGAGGCCCATTTTGGCTGGGGGTCCCGCCAGAAGAGCTTGAAGTTGATGATGCAATCAGCAGGTGTCAGCCTGATTAGCTCCTTGAAGATCGGAGCCCACTTCACTTCGCCCACATGCCGGTTGATGATCTCAACAACCTCTTCGGAGTTCGCCTTGTTTGACCATTCTTCCTGTGAATTCTCGTTCGACTACTTCATTGTTAGCTTCATTATGCGCCATTTGAAGCTGAAAAGCATGTCCCCACCTGACAGTTGACCACCCAAATCATGACGTCGTGACGCGTCAAAGTGAGAGCGTAGGTACCCGGACTGAGTGCGTAAAACAGATCAGCAGTCGCCAAGGCTTAGGGAATGTTATGGTTCTTTTACCCAAGCCATGTCCGAATGATTGGTTCACGACGGCCATCTTCAGTCTCATGCATCCTGAAGAATTCCTTAACCTCGGGGTTCTTGTTCAGGTAGCTCACAGGAAACGCAGCTCGCCACATTGCGCGTTCTGTGGACACAGCTCTGACCTGACCACCGAGAAGCCGCTGACTTTTGGAGCCAATACCATCGGCGGCTATGACAATATCGGCCTCGAACTTTTTGCCCTTGTCGGTGATGACCCCGCCAACACCCTTAGACTCATTCTCGTAATAGTCCACAACACGATTGCCGAAATGAATCGGCACTCCTAGCTTCTTGATCTGGTCCACATACATCCTGTAAACCAGGGGCCGGAGTTGGAAAACTCCAGGAGGCATGCTTGGGTCAACGTCTTCATCACGTAGACGGTCACGGGCAAGCTGGGGGGGGACCATCAGTTTGCCATCGTGGGTGTATGTCTCGATCCACATGTTGGCCATCGAGATCTTCTTGTACTGCTCAGCCATTTCAGGCCAATGTTTAAAAAACTTTGTCGCCGAAAGACCCATGAAGTACATATCACCTTGGCTCTATGTGTTAGCCAGTGGATGCAAAGTCCATGGTAAGTACCGCAGGTGAGGATAATTCAAACCCACCTGCTGTATTGATGTCATCATATCTCTCAAGGACTTGTACCCGGCACCCTTTTCTGACGCATTCCAAGGCGGCAGTGAGGCCGGCAAGACCAGTTCCGACAATCAGGACGTTGATCCCATTATCGGGATAAGAACCAACTGGCTTGGGCGTGCCATCGTAAGAACGAGTCATTTTGAGGATTTGATAACAGCCGTAAAGAAACAATGTTGCGGTATAATGCAAAGTCAATGATGGAGCTTTCTGAGAATATCAGTATGTTGGGATCTGGAAGTTTGATGCTTTGGGTTAAGAGGTGTCAGAAGTCCGAGGAGAGTATGCATAGGACTTGAAAACGACATCCACATCTCTGATGACTGCTGGCTTGGTCCTTCCCTACGTCTGAAACGGATTCAAAAAGTTGAGAGGTCGGAGTAAGTTCGACAGTGACAGATCATGACCGAGAGACGGCACAGCTCATGGCATCCCCGACAATTTAGATGCGTCATGTGGAAAGGAATGTAAGAGAAGCAGCGAGGAGAAAGTCAGAGTCTCTTAAGAGATGTATTGGAGGATGGAAACTTGGAAGGTGATAACCGCCTTTACTGTTCAGCAATGTCATCGGGTAATATATGGCTGCCGCTAGCGGCTAGTGCTATTGCTTGCAACATGTACCATGGGTAAGAGTTGGCTGGCTTGTTTGGATTCCCATCTTGTAGAAGACGCCTGCAATCAGCCGAGGCCCGCAATGCAGTCCAGTTATCCGCGGACTAGAGGATGTGGGATCCGAGATGTAAGGATGGCATTTACTTATTTATTTATTCTATTTTTTTCGACCGGTTTCACCACTGGGGGTGCTCGGTCATGCCCACGACGCCGGCGGGCAAGAGTTACCTAAGTTGGGCTAAATACACGTAACGACGGGAAAAGCTGCATAGGGTAAAACCGGCGTGGGTTAGAGGGTGTGTAGTGTATTATGTGCAGAGGAAGGTTCTTGAAACCGGCCAACCCCAGGTATGTGCCTGGCTGGGACCTACTCCGGTCTGGATGATCGGCATGTTGGGCTCGCGGGTGGGAGAGCGAGGGAGGCGTGGTAACGGGATAGGGTGCGCTGTGGCAGCGTCCCAGGCTTGCCCCCAGAGTTTGACCTGGGGAGGCACTGAACGGAAGGATGACATTACGCTTGAGAACGTTGTTTCCAAATACTCTCGAGGAGATTGGTTAGTGAGTAAAGAGCCGCTGAGAATGCAATACAGCTGATTCAAGACTTGAGGTCAACGCAACTATGGAAGGACGATGGCACACAATCCTCTTGTCATCGAGGTTATCCAGCAAGGAACACTGCGAATGCAGACTGCGGCAGCACGGGGGGTTTTTTTTGATAGACTTGGGCTGCTACCGATGTGCCTATGAAAATAATGTTTGCTGGACTTGGGCGCTCCCCGACCTCTCAAGACATGCATTGACAAGATTTGTTATAAAGGTTTCGCTTATCAATGCACCAACGCTTCCCCATAGTCCCAACTAAGAGCGGCCTTCTAATGCATTTCGCTGACCCCAGCATCTTTCTAGTGCAAGCAGCTCCTACGATGCAAGGCACCTGACAAGTTGCTACACAAACGGTGGAGGGATACAGTACATGAATCTGCAGCATATGTGCCAAGACCGGACGCGAGGTCCCACTGTACATTCAAAGGACATCAGCTTCAACTCGATGGCACGCACTGGTCGCTGCCTTTTCCTGTACAGGTTTTCCCCTTCCGGGGTTTTCCCAGTGTATATATTATATATAGTAGTGTAGCTATTTCTCGCTGTCGTCGTGAGCACGACCCAGCGTCCGCAGGGGTGAAGCCAGTAAAAATATATAATCCAATCCAATCCACTCCATGGCACGCAATGTCGGTCACGCACGCGCTCGTTCGCAACCGCTCTTCCATCATCGTGAACTCGGCTAAATGCTAGCTTCATTGGATGCATATCTTGCTTGCTTTTCGGAAATAAACTGCGTCTTTGGTTCCGTAGCGTCGGGCCTTGGTTTCTTTCTCAATATATCATGCTTGAGATCCAGGATACCAGACATCCTGAATGAAGCTTCCACGATGGACGTAAGGTTCTCAAGTTGCAATCTGCTTTCGTCACTCATGAGTTATGGGTATGACGCTCCGTGACTCTCGCACAGTTCGTCAGGATGTTGTTCTCCTGAAGACTTCCACGGGAAGGCGTGCTCGGCATACTTAACTTTCCTCTGACGAATCCTTCCTGGCGGACTGAGGAATTAAATATCGGAGGCACCGAATCTTTTATTCCGCCCTCGACCCTCCTCGTCGCCATGACATAACCTACGTTTATTTCATGATCAGCGTTGTCAACATAGCGTGACCAGCGTTGTCAACATAGCGTGACCAGCGTCTTCATCACTACAGTGTCTTCGTCTTGAGTATCGCCAGCTTGATAAATATCCTCAGCGTTACCAGCGTCCTGATAATCCATATCCATCCCGCTTGTACAGCTCTACTTCGTTACTAAACATCTTGTTGGATACTGTGAGCCTCTGCACCAAACCACCCCAGGTACATATGGCCATTGAGCTAGAACCTTAGTCCTACTGCTAAATTCCGGGATACTTCACACGCCTCTGGAACATGTGACGCAGTTAAACATACTGACATGTGTTCAAGTCATCCGCCACCCACATACCCTGCGATCCCGAGTCTGATTACAAGATTTCTGCGACCACGAAGAGCTATCACTTCTCTCTCCCCCCGTGCTAGCAACCTTCAAGCTCCAGCACATGCCACACTTATAATATTCACCATGCGCTTGGTCGACTTGGCACTTCAGGTCCTAATTTGCTTCCTCATCAGCACCCTATTCTGGTTTATTGTTGAGTTCCGTCGGAGAAACGACCGCAAACGAGGCCCCGGCCCAACTCTTTTACCGGGTCTTGGCCGCGTCCACGACCTGCCTCTCCAGCATACGTGGTTCAAGTTGAAGGAATGGGGAGATCGATATGCTGCCCGAGGATATTATCGTGTGGACTTGCTAGACACTCGGTTTTTTGTTATTACCGATGAAAAGATCGCTTATGAGCTGTTAGTCAAGAGAGCGAAAACAAATTCGGATCGCCCTGCCGTTCCTTCGATCGTGGATTCCAAAAGCGCTAACGGTTCCATGGAATACCTACCTCTCATGGGGCACAACGGTATGTTTGCGCATGTGAACACTCCCATAACCATGAATTAGAGACTGACTAGACCTGATTGGCAGATTTTTGGTCTCGGCAGCGGAAATTAACGCACTTTTTTCTCTCTGACGGCAACTCAACCCATTACAGGGGCATCTTGTACCATGAAAGCAAGCGTTGGATTGCTCGACTTATGCGCAATCCGGATGCCTTCCAATGGAGTCTTGAAGACATGGCCTCCAAGGTCATGTGCGCGCTCACATGGGACGATCCCAATCAAAGTGAAACACTCATCAGAAGTGCCTGGGCTCTGCTTCGCCAGATGTCCCCTGCTGGCCCCATCACGAATGTGATCCCGCAGCTGTGGAAACTTCCATATATCATCAATCCATGGAAACAGGCCGAACGCAAGCGTCACGACGAGCAGATTGCTTGGTGGTTGGAAAGATTAAAGGACTCTAAGGAAAAGTGGAAGAAAGGGGAGCTCCGCCAATGCTGGACATGCGATTATTTCGAGATGACAGCCGCTGCCAAGCTTGATCGCAAGATGACCTTGAGTTGTGACTATGAGGCTGCTTGCGTCTTGGGCATGCTGGCCCTCGTTGGCATCTTTACCGTGGCCGGCCCGCTCAACTACTGGCTTGTTGCCATGGTAAACTTTCCCGAGTGGCAGCGTGCTGTTCAGAGGGAGGTCGATACAGTCTGTCAGGGTTCCCTCCCCACCCTGGAAGATATCCCACGTCTGCCTATCTTGCGGGCGTGCATCAAGGAAACGATGCGATGGAGACCCAACGTTCCCACAGGTATGTTCTTCCCAAACTATACATCTCTTCTCGATGGTATCTCGATGCTGACGCTTGATCATTCAGGAGTTGCTCACGAGGCTGAGGTAGACCAAGAGTGGGACGGGTGCGTCATTACCAAGGGTACTCGTATCTTGCCCCTTGACTAGTGAGTCCCTCATTTGCTGAGACATGTACCCTTCATTTTATTGTGCAGATTGGCTAACGCTTTCCTCAGTGCGTTCCTCCGCAACCCTATAAAGTTCCCTGATCCGGAGTCTTTCCGGCCCGAGCGCTGGCTCGAGCCGGGCTGGCCAACTTATCGGGAGCCCCTGACACAGTTTCCCACCATCAGAGGAATGACTACATTTGGTTGGGGACAGCGTCAGTGTCTGGGCATGTCTCTTACCCAGGACGAGATGGTGGTTGCCTGCGGTGCTCTCGCCTGGGCTTTTCACTTGGAATGCAAGGCTCATCCTTTGACGGGCGAGGTCTTCCCCGTTCCAGACAATAAGTGTAACTCTCTGCTTATCGTCAAGCCCGATCCGTTTCAGATGGCCTTCACCCCCCGTAGTCAAGCCCGCCGACTTGAGGCCCTGCGGATCTGGGAGTCCGCTAATCGCCGAGATTTAAAGGAACGAAAGGTTCGACTGGAGGATACGTAAGTAATGCCCAGACGTCGTTTGACCTGGCAGTACTTATAGTAGCTATGTCAAGACATGTCCAATTAGGGCACACGACGGGATCTTACTCACACTGTAATCAAGGGGCGCTAATGTTTAACCACAAATAATGCAAGTCGTTTTTTTTTTCGAGTAAAAAGTAAATTGCCACAGGTTTATTCAAGCATGTTAACATCCTATTGCGGATCTGCATCACCTCTTTGACAAGACTGAAATACAGACCATGAGCTGTCTAAGGTAGCTAGAAGGAGGATGCTTCAATGCTAAGGCTGCACCGATCTTTGTTCCGCATCTCATCTATCGCACAGATACGCACCGGTTTTTCCTCTTGGTTTTTTCCCCATGTATGTAGCTTAGACTAGCGAGTGCATATGTACCTTTTGCCCGCCGGTGTCATGGGCACGACCGAGCATCCTCATGGGTGATACGGGTCGGAAATGCAATTCAAATTCAAATTCAAACTCTTTCTTCCACTAGGAATTCCTAAGGACTGGAGGTAAAAACTGGCCATGTCGCAGGTGCACGCATGGCGTCTGGTTGGTTTCTTCCTCAGTACTATATCTTCAGATATAGGGCTAGGCCCCAGTGGGAGCCCAAACGCGCGGGCTTCAGGGAGTGGCTTGGCCTACCTCCCTCCTTTCCCACGAAACGTCACATGCCCCCTTGGACATGCACGGATGGTGGCAGGCCGCAGACCCTCCTTGACTCGATGGAGCAAGCACTTGGCCAAACTTTCCTCGAGAGACTCTCCCAAGAGTGCCTTTCCCGGTGGCTGGCAGAGACCTGGGGCCACGGCGACTTCCTGGAGTACCACGTGCGGTTCAACCACCTCCTGAAGCTCATTAAAGAGTGCCCCTGCAGCGGTGTGGTGTCCAGAGGCCACTTTTTTTTCCCTGCCACTTCACCTTCAATAACCCACTTGCTGGCAAGCTAGACCCCGGGGCCTTCTGGTCTTCCAACTGTTCAAGTCCAGGGCCTGCAAGGTCGAACTCTGGGGGCAGGCCTGGGACGCTGCCACAGGACACCCTATCCCGATACCACGAACTCCTCTCTCCCCCCTGCGGGGCCGTGCCCAAGCCTAACGTGCCGATCATCCAGACCCCGAGCCTGGAGAACTAGAATAGGTCCCAACCAGGCACATGCCTGGAACCGGTCGGTTTTGAGAATATTCCCCTGTACACAATACACTAAAATTCCATCTAACCCACGTCAATTTTACCCTTTGCGGATTTTTCCTGATGTTACCTGTATTTAGTCAATTTAGGCAAATCTTGCCCGCTGGCGTCGTGGGGACGATCCAATACCTTAAGGGGTGAGGCCTGTCGAACGTTAGAATATATATATCCTCAGGTAGCAGGGCGCTTCTTTCCCTCACTAGATAACTCCGACCGTCTTCTTCGAAAGGAACTGTAGTTACTGTAAGGCAAGATTGTAGTAACCCGCTAACCGCAATGCTAGGTGGGGATATCCGCACTCTGAGGTCGGACAACTGGAAGGAGTGGATGGAAGGGTCTGCATAACACACATGCAACACCGACACTTCAGTTCTTGCTGTAATGCCAACACCAACCTTGCGCTGTTGACACCATCATTCATCTCGCCTTCACAGAGCCATCACAAGCATTTCATCTCGCATCCACTGCCCTGGATCATTGCTCAAGCTACTGATTAAGGTCTTTCCAAAGACGTTATCCTTTCAGGATCTGATATCCATACCTATCTACCCGTGCAGCCACCCGTGCAAAGTCACTGATCTGGACACGATGCCAGCAGTTTCAGCCCAGACAATTCTCGGCTCGACGGTTGCCTGCTCATTCATTCTGCTAGGTAATGTTTTTTCGGAGCTTCAACTGCTCACTTTTGATGCTTGCAGTGCCTTAACTAACAGTGCGTACTTCGCATTGAATAGGAAACGCTATCACCCAGTCTTACATGGGCATTCCCGCCCTCATTTTAGACCTGCCCCCTCCATCCGACCCTGAGCACCCGAAGGCAGTTCGCCGTCTTGCTCGTCAATGGACTGTTTACTTTCGCGTCGGCAACATCTTCTTCCGGCCAATTAGCACCCTTGGCATTGCCGGGTACGGCTACGTCAGCTGGCTAGTTAGCCGTGCTTCGGGCTCTCAAAGTGGCGGTCTCCTTGGTGCTGCTGACTGGAAAGTCTTTGCTCTGGCTGCTGGCTGCCACCTTGTTACTGTCATACACTCAGCCTTGAATATGCAGCCCCTGAATAGAAAAATCATGGAGCTCGCAGCATACCACAAGCAAGGGGACCAGAAAGAGGAGGTGAAGGCAGAGGAGTTTGCGAAGAGGTGGGCAAGACTGAATCTTTTGAGGTTGGCAATGCCTTTGATTGCAGGCTCGGCCGCCATGTGGGAAGCTCTTCGCCACCTTTGATTCCCTTGTAGATGGGTTGGAGCTCATTTTGTCATCATAAGAACGGCCACTGACACTACAATTAACCTTAACTTTTTCTGAGTGTAATTAAAATTAGGATTTCAACATTGATTCACGCTGTATGTCTTCTGCGATCGCTAGCAGGTGATAAAGTGTCTATCGGATGTGATCTTGCATGTTTCTGATCCCTCAACAATCATACCATTCCAATTGGACTCTTCAAGTTTCTGTCAAGCTGAATGTTTTAATAGCAAGAACTTTCTTACTCCCACCAGTACACTAACCGCCACAAGACTGATGAGGATTGAGGATCGGAACCAAGCGCCAGTCCTTTTGGTGGACGAAACCTTGGCACCAAACCGCTTCACCATGTGACGGGCAAGTTCTGAGTCGCAAAACTCCTGCATCTCCACGATCTTCTTCCCATCTTCCGACAACTTGATGATCAACATACACTCGTGGTGGTGTTCGGTGTCTGGACGTCCACTCTGTTTCAGTTTTCCCTTCATCTCAGCATGGATGATGACAGTGTTCCGGGCAGTGTCCTCGTAGATGTTCAGTGGAGTCATATGAAACTCTCGAAAGATTCGGAATACTTCATCGGCATGTTGAGCAAACTGAGCTTTGTCACGACGAGGCATACCGAGCCGGGCAGGTAGAACCGCGTGAGAAAATGCATCCGACAGTGGCTGGATAAGTACTGGTGCCGAAAGACTGGAATAGCCACGTAACAGTGTATTGATAACATGCCGCCGAGGCGACGAGACCTTGGACATGTTATCAATAGTTGGGTGGTTCATGGTTGTTGATGATGTACCGTTGAAACCTGGTTCGGTGATTTAGAGCTTACACCGTGAAGATCTAGGCCCGTTGTGAAAGCGTGTAAGAGCATGAGCTAAAGTGTATTGTATCTTGGGATTGGTTGCATATTTACTTGATAACGTAAGAGCTTTGGTACTTTCTCCAATCCATTACTACCAAATAAGTCGCCTACACCTTCTTCATAAACGGGACGGTAAGGAGCAACACACTGCACCATTTTTCCCCCGAATATTTCCTCGGCAATAGCAGCAAGAGTTTCGGTATCCTAGACAACTTGTTTGATCATGAATCTTGAAAAGCCCGCGGCCACGAATCAAATCCTCTTATGAGCGGCTGTTCTACATCTCGAAAAGTCGCTTGGTCTCTTCCAGGATACTACAGCTCTCGGTTCTGCGCTAACCTTTGGGGGCCAAACCGAATCAAATCGGCAGCCTGCAAATAAGTTAGAAGCCTTTAACATGCTGTGATACTTGATCTAGAGAAGCTCTTACCTTCTCTGCAATGGCATAAACAGTTTGGCACGTGTTGGCCCCTGGGAGAGTAGGCATGATGCTGGCATCCACTACCCTTAACCCGGTAACCCCATAAACCCTAAGCTCTTCATCAACAACACCACCTAGCTCTCTCGGAAGCATTGCACATGTCCCGGCTGGGTGAAACTCAGTGGGAGACATTGCATCCTTAATGAAGCTGATAAATTCTTCGTCAGTGTTGACTCGCAGTCCGGGTCGGCTCTCTTGAGGACTGTAGGCTGCAGTCAGGGTGTTGTTGAGGTAATATCTCCTTGTGAATCTGAGGATGTCCGCCATGATCTTTGCATCAAGAGGATTACTGAGTGCACGATAATCGACCATTGGGGGTCGGTTATAGGGATCCGTAAGATCGATGGTTACCGTTCCTCGGCTGAGTGGATGTAGGTCGACAACAATGCCTGATGTTGAGGAGCCAGAGAGCACATGATTGTAAAAAGCCGTGCGATTTCCCCGAAGAGCTGACGCATAAGAAAGCATCTGCGCTCGGTATCCAGCTGCGACGGTAGGGTGTGTTCCAAGAGGAAGATATTCAGAATGGTTTTGAGACTCCAATTCTGAAGCGATCAGTTCCCAACGATCCGAGATGACCGGGAATGATAGCCACGCTGCCACGTTTCCAGTCGCAATGGAATAAGGCCCAGTCCTATTGGAAGCCCAAACAGTTGACGCCCAGGATGAAAAGCTTCGGTTGGAATACAAGTCATCACCTGACGGACGAACGGAGAAATTGCGATCTGGTCGTGGAGTCAGTCTTACCCATATGTTGCTGTATACAAACTACCCACATGTGTATGACGGCTGAAGCATCTATCATTGCTAGGTTAGACGAGGCTCCTCAGTTACAACGATCTTGATTCCTCTTTGACAAGGGTTACTTGCCGGATGATCCTGAAAGTTTGCACCCACTCCCTTCAGATCAACAACCGTAGTAATATTCGCAGCTGATAGAAGTTCTCTAGGACCTATGCCGCTAAGCTGGAGTAGTTGCGGACTGTGTATGGCTCCGGCTGCTAAGATGACTTCTTTCTTGGCAATGACTTTTTTTAATTGTGTTGAGTTAGTGGTAGACCGGTCGGTACCTGCTTCGATGAAACTAACTCCTGTCGCCACCGTCCCATTGAAGAGGATTTTAGTTACCCTGGATCCTGTTGCCAGATGGTAATTGCTCCGGTTCTTTCCGTCCCAATGCCCAGTTCTAGAATATGAACGTTCTACTTTGGTTGGATCCATGAAAGTTGGATACCAGTACACCCCCGTCTCCCCGGAGCCGCTATCTTTGGCGAAGGGAACTCCTGGGATTCCTTTCCAAGCTTCGACTTGCGCACTTGTGGCTGGGTATTGATAGGAGGGCCATCCTGCGTAGACACCAGAAGTATTTCCCCAGAAGGTTATGTCGTAGGTGATGTTGGAGGACTGGGCAACGTCCGGATCCGGCGGAACAAAATGAAGCGCCTTCTTGAAGTAAGGAAGCAGGTCTTCCCAGGTCCAATGTGAATTTTTTCCAAAGAAAGAGCCCCAACGATCATAATCCTCAGCAGTACCTCGGATCGTCATCATGGCATTAACCGCAGAGCTTCCTCCAACCACTTTACCCGCGAGAACAGCAATAGTACGATTATTTAGATTCCGCTGCGGAACTGAGGTTATGTCGAACATCAACCGTGGGTCGGACATTGCACTGAATCCTCCTCGTACTGTTGTGATGGCAGAGGAGTTCACTGCCAAATCCGCTCTGTTAGCTTCTTCTCTTCAATGCAAGAACAACTAATGGAAACCTTGATGAGTCACATACGCAGTTCACCATACTCGATCACAAGTACGGTTGTTTTATCATCTTCACTTAACCGGTCTGCTACTGTGAGACCGGCAGTCCCTCCCCCAACAACGATATAGTCATACTCCGGTTCAACATCTCGGCCATTGAGGAAGATTTTTCCAGCCTTAAGCTCCCTTGCTGAGGAGAGCAAAAGATTTGATATGAAGGTCAATAGGGTCAAAGCACGAATGAAGGAAAACATCATTGTCCCGGTAACAACTCTATAGGGGTCGGTCAATGTGCCTGATTGTCCAAAAGTCCAACTCCAGACTTGTAACGCCATGGTTTTATAAAACATTAGGCTCAGATGACTCTCCGGGCTGATTGCAACTAGTTTAATCGTCGTATGATTCTCCCAAACACTTGCTGTATTTCACAGCACAACCTAGCTTGAATGGTCAACTAAATAGCCGGTGCGAAAAGCTTGGCCCGGGGATAAATGCACTTTTGTTAACCCAAATTGATCCACGAACAAGCTTGTATGCGCGTGCTCGGCTATTACCAATCACTTCATCAATAGGCCAGCACACCTGATACGGAATATCATCTCTTATGTCAGCAAGACCCATCACATTAATTCACGTCCTAAACCCTCTCGGCCCTACACATCGGGCTGGCGGAGTACTAGATCTAGCCCTGGGGCCGGAGACAGCCTTCGCCGAGTTTGCCCACTGGACTTCAGATCACAGAACCCGGCTGGTGCCATTGGACAGAGCCCGCACGATACCCCTCCCTCCCCGAAAATTGCTACCAAGAAGCCTGCTTGACGAAGCCTCCGCTCTCCTAGAGGTCTTTCTGCCCAACCGAGGCAAATCATCACCTTACAAGACCTGGAGGATTATGCTTGGGTAGTCTATGACGCCTTAGAAGGAGTAGTTGGCCGTTTCGCTGTCCCCCCTGGCTCACACACAAAGAGCACTCCATGGTGGTCTGAGACGCTCCAGGTATCCAAAGATTCAGACCCCTGGTCTTGCAGCGAGACGGTATCCGAAGGCCCCTTCCTCCAGTGCCCACTCTCCTCCCTTGACAATCCTCTTGCTGGCCGCCTAGATTGCAGAACATTTTGAAACTCATATCAACTGTTCGAGAATAGAAAATCACGACTCAAACCTTCCGGCTCAGCCGGGGACCATCAAACGGGACAAGCCATCCCTCCTCAACGCCCTCCCTACTCTCCTTCACGCATGACCTGTCACATGGACACGGCAGTTCAAGGAGAATAAATATCCTTGACAGTCGACATATAGAACGCCAGTGACACAAGAACTGAGAAGGGCAAAGGCATATCTGATTGGTAGAGCTCGGAAAATATGAGGGGGTGGCAAGAATGAGTTAGATAACCCTGCCACATTGAGGAGATACCCTGAAGATTGCAGGAGACAGCGAGGTACTCACAAAGGCAAAGGGATTTTATAAGGGTAGCTACTTGGGCACGACGGAGGATTTCTCTTGGGCTTTCCTCTCCCCAACACAAGGACACTGAAAACCAAGAAAGATTATTACATGTAGCAATTGACTTCGCTGTGCACCCAACATCGTCAGTGGCCATCATCTAACCTATTTGACCCATTGTCGATCCCTGTCTGCACCAGACCAAGTAACCCGTTACATGAACTCACAATCTCGATCGATGCATACCCCTAACAACGAAGAATCAGATCGGAACGGGCTAGTTCGGACATCCACATATTTCACACTCATCCCTCCTAACCCATTTTCCTTTTACTTTTTTTTTCTTTTCCTACATCTCTCCCTTTCCAACACCACTCATCTATCCCACGGATACGCACCGGTTTTTCTTTCTCGGGTATTTTCCCGCGTGTATATAGCTTAGACTAGCGAGTGCATATGTACCTTTTGCCCACCGGCGTCGTGGGCACGACCGAGCATCCTCATGGGTGATACGGGTCGGAAATGCAATTCAATTCAATTCAATTCTATCGCATTAATTGCAAGAGAGAAATTTTTCATTTACAGAAACTGGAGTGTTATGCCTAATTGCCCTCCGTGCCAGCAACAAAGGGTATAAGCAAACAAATTGTGACCCATATATAATGCTGACAATCTTAGTGAACACATCCAAGAAAAGAAGTCATCACACACCTCGCTCCCAGTCTCTGACTCCAAACAATCCTCCCCTTCACAGTTCAAGAGGTAACTTGAACAACTTTATGGCATTTTCTCTCGCAATGAGCTGCTTTTGGTCTTCTGGAAGGTCGACGGTAAGCCACCAGTATTGTGCTTCAGCTATGGAGTCAAAGGGATAATCTAGAAACAGTGAGCATTGTGTTAGCAGTAAATTGGCAACAGCGAAGACGGCAACTTACCAATAGCAAAGAGACAGCGCTCTGGGCCAACTTGATCGACACAGAACTTGAGACCAGGCGTATTAAAGTTACCTGCAGTTGTAATCCAAATATTCTTCGTGAAATAGTAGGTAAAGTCATGCTTGGATGGTCGAGTCTTCAACTTTCCTGGCTTATTGTACCAGTGATCTGCTCTCCAGAGGCTGAATGGAATGCTGTTCACCGACGACACAGGGAGTTAGCAAACTGAACAATCTCATGATTTAGAGGTTCAGTCAACCTGGCAAACTAACCCTTCACCTAGATTTCCCACAACAACCTGAAGGCCAGGGAACTCGTCAAAAACGCCACTGGAGCAGAGCGCATAGATGTGCAGGCTGAGATCGAGATGGAATTGCACAGCGCCACCGAGAATCTGCTTCCTGTCACCGTACCGAGTACCGGGCTGGAGATCTTTTGCTGGAGGGAACCGCGGATGCATGTAGACTGGGACCCCGAGCTCCTCAACTGCCTTCCAGAACGGACGAAATTCGGGCGTGTCGTAATACTTTTTGCCCTCCACATCACCTCCCTCATTGACCACTTGATAGTCGTTCAGCACAACGCCAAACATGCCCAACTCCTTGACTGCCCGAACAGCCTCGGCAACAGCGTCTTCCACATTATGCATCGACACGCTTGCCAGAGCGCCGAACCTCTGAGGGTTAAGAGCAACTTGCGCAGCCAGCCAGTCATTTGCTTCTGTTGCTAGTGCGCGCGCCTTCGCAGGATTTGGTTCCCCTTGTGGGCCAGGAGAGGTCAGAGATAGCAGCATGTACTCGACTCCATGGGTATCCATTTGCTTGAGCCGGTCATGGTGGATGTCGAGAAGGCGCTCAGTGAGTGTGGTATGGCTTTCGGTGCTGGCCTCCTGCCCAAAGAGAGCTGCTGAATCTGCCAGCCAAGAGAGTCCGGTTGGGTTAATCACCGCCTCCTCGATAGCAATCGTGCCTTTTTGCGCTTTTATGTTGCCAACAGCCATGTCTGATGAGGAAAGGTAATGGGGGGCGAAACCAGGAAGCTCGTCGAATTACTTGAGTGGGTGTCTTGCCGCGATGTGCTGACTTTGGCAATTGGTTCGTGAGTGCTTCAACTTGGAGAGGAGTTCGAGGAGGTCTCTGGCTTGAGAGCTAACTGTCAAGCGTCGATCTCAACCACTTTAAATATGCAGGGTCTGAGGGATTACCTGCCACTGGGTCACGATGAGAGATTATCGGTGTTCGGACAGTCGGGACTCACCAGAGGGTTTGTAAGCGAGAACAAACCCGCCCTCTGCGCGTGTCATTGCCAAGGAGGTTAGGGGCATAGGGGATAGACAGGGATCACGGATGTGGTTGGAGGAACAGGGGAGCAATGGATCCAGAGGACCCATCAAAGTCAGATCCCAGCACTCAGTGAGCCCTGTTGTAACCTAGCGTAGTGTAGTTCACAGGATGCTGCAAAGCATTGTGGAGAGATAGGTATAACGTAGAACTGAAGGTAGTGGCAAACGGCAGCATGCTTATCATCACTGTTGATGTGCTACGTATTTGTTCAGCCAAACAAAGATTTCTAGTGCGAGCTCAGAATCTCCAAGTTTGCACCTCGTGTTCCGAAAGTTGCTGTGGATCGCAAAGACAATGTTGCAGAAAACTCGTGCCTGCATGCACCGGCTGCAAACCTTCGGTCATCTTTCCAGGTTTAAAAACCTGAAATGCATGAGCCTCATGCGGTCCCCTTGTCTTCCACGTGGAATTAGCATATGGAACTTCATTGCGGATTGGATCCATGTTTTCTCATGCCCATTGTGAGTATCCACCCAGGGACGGTCTTGCAGCTTTCCTGCAGTAGCTCTTCATGAATGGTTTAGTCCAGGAAAACCATTGCCCTTATCCATTTCTTTTAAAATTCTCGAAGCCATGTTTCCATATTGACATAGTTCCAAAATGTAGGTGGTTAATTTTGCCTTGCAATGAGGAGCAGCATGTTGTGGACGTTGACAAAGCACAACGCATATACTGCTCTCTAATGATATTTATCAGGTACCAGGATCCTATCTGTCTCTCTATTTGTGGATTCGGATGGAGACGCACAATCAACTGGAAGTCGAGTTATGATCGCCATTCACGGTTCAGGGGCTATGGATTGCGAGCTTGTTCCGCCTCCACTGCGGGACCTGCTGTTTAGCACCACCCGGGCCGGTGGGGCCAGGCTTGCGGGTAATACTATCCATGCTAGGCAAAGCAGCACCGCTCAGCTCGCTGGTATCCACTTGGCATGCTGAGTGCATGCTTTTGTTACCAGCCAACGACTGGACCCCAAGCCTTTTGGCACTCACACAACTCGAGCTTTACGGCTCCGCCCAAGATGAACAGACGGGGCGAACTATTCCCCTACGCCCCCCGACTCCTTCCTCGCTTGGTGCTACACCCCCAAAACCTTCACCCTCTAGTGACTCATGATCAGATCCAGAACTATCAGTTGGTTTGGATATTCACATTTCTGGTATTCTCCGCACCTAACCCCATTCCCCATTCTCCTTCATGATATCCCCTCACAGCAACATACTGTTATTTTACTTTTAGATTTTTTCCCGCATAATATATAGTGTAGTCTAAGCAGCCCATAATGAACTCTTGCCCGACGCCGCCATCGTGGGCACGACCAAGCACTTTCAAGGGTGAGACGGGTCAAAATGCAACTCTATTCAATTCAACAGCTGCATACTTTACTCACACATTGCATCCTCCATCAAATCCTCATCTCTTGGTTGCAGTCTTATCCATTGGTATCATCGCCAACTTGATATCATGACCGATACAGAAATAAACGTATCTTACCAAGATCAGAGCTGTAATTGGAGAACAGCTTGGACAAATATTACTCATATTCGTTGCATATAATGGCCACAATCGCTGTATGCGACTCACTGAATATCCTAATTGTTGCAAATTAATTTGATTGTTTCGAACATGCAGTTCTCTCTCACTAGCAAAGTACTATGAACAGCAATGAAGATTTAGGAACCCATGTCCACTATCATCACAGGCCATTGTCTTCTCTGCTTTCCTATACCGTAACTGCAATGGGCCCAACAGGGAGCAACCTGACATTATCAAACAACTCCGGTTGTGTCACCTTCTTAAAGACCTCATCAAACACCTTTTCGGCATGCTTCTCAGCATCGTGTCCGTGGATCCAGTCTTCCCGAGGGAACTCGATGCTCTTGGGATCTGCCTTGACCTTATCCCAGTCTGTCTTATGCCACTTGTCACGGGTTGACTCTCCTGTCTTCTGAACGGCCCGCACACGGTCATACCGGATTTCCTGGTAAACGCGGACAGCAGCTTGGACGTTGGCCTTACCGGCGCGCTTGAGGCAAACCGCGATCGTCACGCCGTCCTCCATGGCTTGAGTGGCCCCTTGAGCGCTGGTCGGCAAGAAGGGGTGCGCCGCATCGCCAATGAGAAGGATCCTCGCGTGCCTGCTGACCCAAGTTGGCAGTGGGTCACGGTACACCAACTTCCAATCCACCAAGCTGGGCGTCTTCTCGACGATGGCTTTGCAAACAGGATCCCAGCCCTCGAGAACCTTGTAAACATCTTCCAGCTTCCCAGGGAATGACCATGACTCATCAATGTCATGTTCGTCCGGGTGAGTCAGCACCCAACAACAATCTTTGCCCCCTTTTAGCGTGCTGAAGAGGAAATGGCAGTCGGGACCGATCCAGCCATTGAAAGTGTCGCCGTTGGCGCAGAACTCGCGAGTGCGGGGGTCTTTGATCATGTCTGTGTTTGAGAACCAAGCACGCCAAACGGCATAACCGCTGCTCTTGGGCTTGTCGACATAGCCAAGAACCCGTTCCCTGGCTTTAGACCGGACACCATCAGCACCAATGACGACATCAGCATAGACTCTCTCGCCATTTTTCAGGATGATGCCTGCTTTGCTCTCATCTTCGAAGTACTCCTCAACGCGATGACCCAAATGAATCGGAATTCCCAGCTCATCCTTCGCATAGTGAAACACAATCTCATGCAACTCTCCCCGGTGTCCATTCAACACGGGAGCATCTGGCTTGTCTTGATGAGGGGGCTGGTGGTAGACGACCTCGCCGGTGTCCCATTTGTGAATGCGGAAGCCATAATCTGACAAGTCGATGCAGAGGGCTTTCATCCGCTTCACCACCTCACCGTTGTTCCATCGGTGAAAAATGCGGCCAGCATTGGCGCCGAAGGAGATGATGTCGCCAAGCGTCTTGAGCTCTGGAAAATTTTCGTAGATCTCGACGTCATGACCTTGGCGATGGCACTCAATCGCTGCTGTGAGGCCAGCAAATCCGGCACCAACGATGATTACTTTGATACCAGTCTTGGTGGCAGACATGATGAGGGTTGGATGAAGCGAGAATTTCCTAAGATGTGTGGTCTGTCTGCAATGAGTGATCACAAGAGATAGACTCAGGAGTTAAAGCAGATGACAGGATGACAATCGGGGGATGAAGCTTGAGGATTCAACAAGGCAAGCGTTGAAAACTACTTCAAGAAGGCGATCCAACATATATACTGATGTATTGTTTGGGGCTGTCGTCCCCACATTGTATTTGTTGACGCCGCCACTTCGGCCCAAAGAACCTCTAAGTCTCTCTCCGTCCCGCACAACCTAGCAGGTTGGCCGATGCCGTTCAGGACTCATGCCTCCATCCATGCCGGCAGTCCTAGTGATAACTTCGGAGTGTGGCAGAACGTTAGCCTCCGCGCGTAACGGGGCGGACCGTCATAACTCCAGTCATTTTGAGGTATTTGCCGAAGGCATGCTGCATCATTAGAGGGAGTCCTGTGCGTTGCGGTTACTTGAAATGCGGGGAATGTACCAGAAGGCGAGTTTTCCCCGCAAACCTGGGAACGATGTTATACACGCTAGGCCAAATTCAGGACTAATGCGTCGGAGTCATTTTAACATCGCCGCTCACCATTATCGGGGCGTTGACTTCGGGGTCAGAAAGTGGATGCCGTTTTCCGTCGGCTGTTGAAGCCTGGGAATTGTCGGGTTAGGGTTGCCCATACCAAATACAGCGCACACCCTGGTGATCATCTTGTTGCATGGCGACGATTCTTACGAGGTTAAAAGCTGTGTAAAATTTCTGGTATTTGTATCTATCGGAGTTTGGAAGCTAAGTCTTTGGTAACATCTCTATGACCCAGATTAAGCCCATGCTTAGTCTAAGCGCCATGTTCCTGCTTCATTACTCTTTGTGCTATGTTTGTATCAATCTTGTCTTCTCCTTGGAGTCTCAGACGTAAAATGAAGTTGAGGCGACAGCTCTGCAGCTCGAAAGGTTTCTCCATGACCGAACCTCTCTTGGCCCTGCAGCTCGTACTTGTCTCCTTTTAGTCCCTGAAGTTCATATTTGGGTTGAATTGTTTCGGCCTCCTGCGCAGGGAAGTACTTGTATCCAGGTTCTTGCGGATAGCAATATGGAGTGAATAATGTTGACATGCCAGCCATAGACGCAGCAGTTGTCGCTAAGCTTGGAGTCAGAGTGTCGTTTAGCCCTGTATCATTTGTTATGGTTTTCTTGAGCAGTTTTTGAGTGCAGTTTAACTTCCACCAAAGGTATGCAACAGCAGCAATTAAGATCCAACCCCAACGCCAACTCCAACTCCCACCTGTTCTGAGGTAGACAGAGTGGATGTTCTCCCATTGGTCGCATTGTCATTCCCTCTTTGTTGTCCAGCTGTAGTTGCCCCGTTTCTAACGACCCAGCTTTGTCGTCTATGCCTACGGGCTTTTCTCCTGTCGTTACTGCTGTTGCTGTCGTCTTGACCGGAGAAAGGATAGTTGCCTGATCACGCGGGGTAACGACACTATAGGTTCTGAGTCAGCTGTCGAAGGTGGCCCAAGTGAAGATCGGAAGAGATTCAGCCTCAAAACGTCCAACTCCCTGATCACAGCAGTAAGGCAGTCCTCGGCAACAGTTTGAATTATCGCGGTTTGTTACATTGGAGCACGAGATGAGCTCCAGGCCAGTATCACGAGCGTCTAATTTTCCAGTTAGTGTACCAGCTAACCACCACAAGAAGCTGATCAAGAGCAAGTTGGACTGACGTGTGCAGTAACTTGCGCATGCTCTTGACTTCCAGTCTCGATCGGTGCAAGATCCGCGAGTGATTCTACCAGAGGGTGTCAGGCAAAGCCCGTTGGATAAACATGCATATGCAAAAGTATTGGTCCAGCAACATGCGCTATGTTCAGCATTTGGGCCACAGGCCGCATCGTCCGTCTCACGGCCATTTGGATAGTAGCATTTCTTTGCAGCCAGAGCATTGCATAGGATTGAGAGACTGACAAAAACCAGGAGAGGTGGCTTCATAATCAGCAAATGAAGAGCAAGAATTTCGAACAAGTGGATGCATTGGAGGACAATGGGAAGGTAGAGTGACGAGCATTAGAGGTGACACGAGAAAGATGAGGTTGTTACTAAGATAATGGAAAGCCAATATGCTATATATATAAACTTGACCGCACGGACACCTATGCAACGCTCTGCTACAACGTGATGTTCTGTGCCACGGTTTTATATTAGGGTCAGTCTTGGCTGAGCAGCAGAGCGGCGCAGGAAGGAAGTGCATAGTTTAAAAATCTAGAAAGGTTGCATAAAAAATCAGGCGTACTGACAGGGGATACTGAAGACTGTAACGACTGTGCCAGGATCCGCGAAGGCGACTAGAAGGCTAGAATTGAATTAAATTGAATTGTATTTTCAACGCGTCTCAACCTTGAAGGTGCTTAGTCGTGCCCACAACGGCAGCGAGCAAGAGGTGGTTATGGGCTACTTAAACTACACATATACGCGCGGCAAAACCTAAAGAGAGGAAAAACCGGTGTGTTGCTGGGTTAGGGTTAGGGTTAGGGTTAGGGTTAGGGTTAGGGTTAGGGTTAGGGTTAGGGTTAGGGTTAGGGTTAGGGTTAGGGTTAGGGTTAGGGTTAGGGTTAGGGTTAGGGTTAGGGTTAGGGTTAGGGTTAGGGTTAGGGTTAGGGTTA